ATTCCCCAAACAGCATCAGCAGTCAGGAAAAAAACCCAAACTCAGTGCTATTATGAAAAACAAAAAAACAAAAAAAAAAAGAGGAAAAAAAAGGAGAAAACTTTGGCAAAATGCTAAGGAAAATTTGGGCAGTGTAGGATCATAGGAATGGCTGTGCTGGCTCAGACCAAAGTCCAGCGAGCCCCATGTTCGGGGCCAACAGAAGATGCTCAGATAAAAGCACCAGAGCAAGGCGAGCGCCCTGTGATACTTCCCCAGCCTACTTTCCCAGCTTCCAGCAATTAGTATCTCAAGGACTTCCTGAGCTGACCGGGCTGTCCTTGAATTTAATATCCCCCCGTGGATTTGTTTCACATGATCTTGTTCCAGTTGTTCTTCGAGCCCGTGCAGACTCGCAGCATCCTCTGCGTCCCTCAGCAGGGAGCTGCAGGGGATGGAGCATCGTCGCCCTCAGAGCAGCGGCGGCCGCTCTTGGGACCATGGAGAAGGCTGAAAAAAGGGCCAGACCTGGGACTGCTGAAGCCAAAAATCTAAAACTCAATAGCTTGGGCAAAAAGGCACCTTAAAGCTGGGTTAGATCTATGTCCTCCATAGGTTCGGCACAGGAGCTCGCAGAGGGCTGGCTCCTTTTATGTGCTGTCAGCATGCAGGAGACGAGCACGAATCCCAGGTTCTGAAAGTATCTGAGTACGTCCTGACACAGAGTCATGTCTCAGCTGGGAACCTTGGTTGGGTTGGTTTTTTGGCTTTTGGAACGGATGGGTAAATTTTGGTTTCATTGAAGCCAGTGGGATTTTCTCCAAGGGTTTCAGCCTGACTCTATCAGTGATGACAACTGGCGCAGAGTTGAAAGGGAAAAGTTGGATGAAGTTGGGTTTTGGGCATGAATGCAGACAGAACTAAAATATTTTATAAATTCTTCTTGGTTTGGTGGAAAACAAATGCCAGGAAAAGTAAGTAAATGTCTCCAAGATGTATTAGACTTCTTGTTTTAGAAGTTTGCTGAATTCGAACGTCTCCCCTTCCATTTTTTTCTCCTTGAAATGGCTTTTCACATTGCCATTCCACCCGTTTTATCCTAAAAGATTAAAAAAACCCACTCTCCCCCGGTGTATTTGGATCCAAACAGCGTTTTACCCCGGAGCAAAGGCCCGTTCCTCTCGCCTGGCCCAGCCCCAGCCGCGCTCGGTGCTCAGTTCCGTCAGCCGAGAAAAGGGCACCATCCTGGCACCCTCCGAGCCCCGCGCTCGCTGCCAGCCCGGGACGTGCTCGCAAGGTGGAGAGCCTTCCCCAAGCCCTTCAGCTGGAAATACTTTAGATAGTTATTTCTTTCTGTCTATATGTATTTTGATATAATATGCACGTGCGCTGATCGGGGGAGTGCTATAGGTTCTCCGTAAAATGCGAGTCAAACTCTATATTGCTCTCCGTATTTCCCCAGTTGCAAAGTTTGAAACCAGGATTATTTCCCCCCCTCTTTCCAGCTTTCCGCCCCTTCCTCTTTGCATCTCAAATCCTCCGTTGCTAACGGTCTCAGTCACCAGGGTAGGGAACGGGAAGCCCGTCCCTAAAATTGCGATGACACAGCAAAGTCTTGGGGTTAAACAAGTTTATCCCCAAGAAGACATACTGAGAACAATCTCATCCTTTTGTGTAGGTTGAAAATGCCTGTTTTAATACCGGTTTCATTCAGCTGGCCTGGGGAGGGGGGTGCTGTATGTGTACGCTGGACCGATGGCAGCAGAGCCCATGACGAGTCGGCTCAGGGGATGCCGCAGACACCGTTAAATGAAGCGTAGACCCTTCTCAGCAAAGTCCTCCAAGTCCATCACTGCCGTGTCAGATACGCATCTGAGCCCCTTGAAGTGATATAAAAAACACTTTCCCTCCTAAACTCTCAGTATTTTACGCTAGAAATTCAAGCTGAAGCATTGTAAGAATTTTAAGCGATCCCATGGAATGGATTCAAAGTGAGAAATTAACTTTTTTTTTTTTTTTCTTTACCCAGTGTTTATTCAACCCGCCAATCTCCCAGTATTCCCAGCACAGCCTGTGGCGAATCCTGTTTGTACACAAAACATTTTTCAAATTTATTGTGGCGCCTGCTTATATTTCGGCGGTGACCACTGCTAGCCACGCTCGGATGGAAGCGATGGGAAGCACGGGGCAATTCCCTGGCCTGTGCCCACTCGGGCGGTGATGCCGTGCCGTGAACATCCTCCCTTTCTCACCTCCTCTCCTTCTGGCCCGGACAGTCGCCATCCGGTACCTCCAGCTTTGCCTCCAGCGCTTTCGCCTGAACGCACCGCGCTCTCCGGAGCAGCAGCGTCCCCATCACCAGAGCTGCCATGATAGCACGTGCTCAGCAGATGTTTTTCCAAAGCCCCGCTCCGTTCGGACGAGGCGCCTTTCCAAGAGGAGAAGCATCTGAGCAGCACGGGAGTGATGTGCTCTTCTCTCTGGGCTTCCTCCTCCGTCTCTAATCCGCAACTCTCAGCCAAAACAGGCTTCGTTACCCGCAGGCTGCTCTTTTCCCCGATCTGAGTTTCAGGTATTACTCCCACGCTTAAAAAGCCGCTTTTGGCACCGTTTTCAGCACTGGAGCTGAGGCGGTTTTGCTCTCCCACATCGACAGAGGAGCTCGGGTGCGGTATGTGACCCCCACACCTTTCACCGCTGTGCATCTTCCCTGCTCTGCTTTTTGGGGAAGGGGCCAGATGATTTATCCAGCCCCACAGCCGCCGAGATCTCAGCCCTACAAACCCACCTCAGGAGGTGGTCTCGAACGGCAGGTTTGATCGCAGCCCTGGGGGGGACGTGACCCTTCTCGCTCCGGGCTTGCGCCGCCCCAAGCACCGTGGCTCCTTCTGCTCCGAAAAGCAGCGCAGACGCTCAACCCACAAGAGGCAAGACAGCCCGAAATAGCCTCATTAGTGAGGAATGTACTGATGGCAGCCCAGATGTTTTAGTCCTCCGGGGCTTGCAGTCACGGATGGCACTGGCTCCCGACCATGCCTGCTACGGCCGGCAGCAGCGTCACAGGGGGCAGGGGGGTGGCAGCAGCAGAAAAGAAAATGGGTGGGTATTTTTCGGAGGGAAGGGCAAATTGCATCCTTTTGGGACCCGGCTGGGCAAACCTGCGCAAAGGCAGAGGCGGCGCCGCTGGAGCAGAGTTCGGCTCGGCGGCATCGCGACGGAGCGCGCAGGCATGTCCTGACCCAGGGGCTCACGCACGGTGGGAGGCCGGGGCCGCCGGCCCATCTCTCCCCACCGCCATCCCCATAGAGTGCTCCCACTCCCTGGCCAACGCGTGTGATGGGACCACTTACGTGAGTGCGGAGGAGCCAGAGCCCGTGCTGCAGGGAACACGCCTGCGCTTGCCAGGAGGAAGGAGCCAAGCACGCTTCTCTCCCTCTTTCTCCCAAGATTTACAGTTTGGGTGGCTGGATGCCGAATTCTCTCGTCTCAGCGAGCGGGATTAGTTCGGAGCTGGTGCGTGAAGAAGGGAGAGAGGATGGGGAGGGAGGTGCTAGTGCTCAGGGCTCCCAGAGGTGCGCCGGTCTCCTGCGGGGAATACTGGGGGAGGGAGGGAGAGGGAAGGCTGCCGTACCGGAGTGCCGCCACCACTTCTACTCCCAGCACCTAAGTCCTCCAGCAATTTGGAAAATCTCATCCTCCGTATAGTGAAACGTTGCTCGGTCCCTACAGGATTTGGCTTTCAAGTGCTAAAAAAACCTCCAGCCCAAGAGCCGGAATCTCATTGCCGTCACAGGAGCGAATCGCAAAGGTGTCCCTTTGCTGGCCGCAGCCACAGCGTGTAAATGAGGGGTGACATTCCCCTCCACTTCAGCACAGCCCCACGCTCGCTCCCCAAATCCCGTCCCACGGATCCCCAGCCGGGGCTGCACAAACCGCCTCTGCCGGGGTGAGGGGGGACCACCTGATACAGCAGAACCCTCTGTCCTCTCCATGTCCCCTCCTTACTGCCCGTGCTCCCCCCTCTCCCCACGCACCCCTGGGAGAGGCAAGCTCCCTGCCAGCCCTCCCCAAAAGTCACTTATCCGCTTGGCCAAACACCCCGCTGCGGCCGCGGGATAGGGGCCGAATCCTGCACTGGGGGGGGCAACCCCGGCTTCCTACAGCATCGCCCCCCGCTGTGGCAACCGCTCTGAGACCCCCAACC